GAAGCTCATGGACCCAAGACGGATAGCTGGGCAACCAGCATAGGAACAACCCAGACCCCCTGAACTTGGTTGTCAGTTAGGAGGCCTGGCCAATCTATGGGGTCTCTGGTAGTGAATCAGTATTTATCCCTAGTATATGAATGGACATTGGGAAGCCCATTCCCCATAGAGGGATACTCTCTCAGCCTAGACACACGGAGGAGGGCCAAACCCTGTCCCAAATGATGTGACAGACTTGAAGATCCCCATGGAAGGCCTCATCCTCCCTGGGGATCAGAAGGGGAATTGAATGGGGGTTGGTTGTGGGCATGGGAGGATGGAAGGGAGAGGGAACTGGGATTGATAGGTAAAATAAGATTGTTTCTAATTTAAATTAAAAATCCAATTATCAAAAAAGACGCATACCAGATCTCAAGGAGCACAAAACTATTATTTTTTTTATTTTAAGTAAGTGTTGAAAATACTTTTAATATATTGGGTTGAATATGATGCTATTAAAATAGCTGATCTAATCTTCATTGAATGTTCCTCGGCAAACTTAACTCTTAAATGTAGGCTTTTAAATTCAGATACAATGATTCAGATTACTGTTTGAAAGCTAAACATTTTTGAAATTGCTCTTTCTTCGATTACATTTATAAATACCAAACCTAGCTTTTACCCATTGTCGAATAAGTTTACTGCAGAATTGTAGCACTAAGTGGTACCCAATTTTTATGAAAGAACTCTTCTAAGTGGAAGTAAAATGAATAATGAAGATATTTTTCAGCAAAATTATTTTTAAACTTATTACTGAAACAGCTTCCGTAGCTATTCCTTATTTAAGAGACTGATAAGCCAGGCCTAGTTCCGTACTCACTTTATTGCTCTTGGACAGCCCAAGCGTCTTAAGAAATGAATAATAATTTTAAGATTGTATGGCATGTTTATTTAGTTTTAATATGTTACTGAATTGAGCTATAACATTAAATATCATTAGTGCCTCTTTTAGAAGGAAATTAGTTCAATGAATGGGATGGAGATGCACGATGTGAAAGACACAATGAGTAAAAGGAAAGAAGGAGAAGGAAAAGGGGACGGAGTTGATTAAATACGGTTACACGGTTAAATGTAAGGGCACCAAATACACAAATAGAGGATTGAGCATATCTTTCACATTTTTCCTAGGAAATTGTAAAAGTAAGTATGTTGGGAAGAGAGGAGGAGGAGGAAGGAGAGGTTGACAGTGAACAAAGTAGTCACACTCCAGGCAGGGGTGGCACCCTTCAGCCATGTTCCTCACAGGTGTGTTCCGTGCTAGTATCTGTGAGCACTCAGACAGTCGTACATCAACTTTCCAGTTCTTCCTTCCTTTGCCTCATGAGGCAATATGTAGGCAAGCTATAGTTTTAATCCACTGTGTCGTCAGAGGCTTACCAGCACTCAGTGGGTGCATATTCCTTCAGGTCATGTTCACACATTTTGAAATGACCATTTTGAATTTCCTATTTTGGGAGTCTACAGCTAAAATGCACAAAGAATGTATTTGTGCTTTTTGAATTACTTAATTTAAATATTCATCTTTATTTGTTTCTTAAAGAATGCTTTTTGATTTGCACTATTTACTTGATACTTGATTTCATAGAAAATTCGTCTTTTACATTGCTGTCCCTATCATTTCAAATTTATTTTCATATTGTCAGACTTGTGCTATCCTGTCAGCACTCTGATTTTACTCTCCAAAATGTCAGATCTAATGACATTTATGCCGCTTTGTTGTTGGAAAGCAGGGGCCCCAGAAATGCTTTGCTTGTTCGGAGTGGTGGGGATTAAGACTAGACCCAGAGCTTGTTCAGCTGTTCACCATGCCATGTGCAGGGGGGACTTGGGCAGTTCTGTTTCTACTAAAAGCTCTCAGTGTAACAAAGGTGTCGTGTAGCAAAAAGTGATGGGAATTGAAGCATGTTGTAGTTACATGAAAGGGGCAAAATGGAAAATAAACTGAAGAGCGGGAAAGAGACCAGCCTTTATTGTGGCAAAACACTCACTGTGTTTGCTTTATGACTCCAGCATCAGAGCCCAGAGTTAAAATTGCCATTCATCAGAACAGAAACTAATGTGAAGGAATCACTAACGTGGAAAACAGAAGCATGAAAGGGTGACTTCTGATAGAATGAGAAGCTAGGGAAAACATAAAAAGAAGGAATAAAACCCTCAAGCTTCCCCTGGAGTTGGGAAGCAGATCATTCTTGAGAGGAGAGAACCATGCAAGCGTCTGATTGATGTGTGGCTCAGTTTGACCCTCCAACATGCTTGTTAAGAACCTGCCTCAGGCCTGGTGGTGGTGACACACGCCTGTAACCCCAGCACTTGGGAAGGAGAGGCAGGCGAATCTCTGAGTTGGAGGCCAGTTTGGTCTTCAAAGAGAGTTCCAGGATAGGCTCCAAAGCTACACAGAGAAACCCTGTCTCGAAAAACCAAAACCAAAACAAAATCAAACCTTCCTCATAGTTAGCATCTCCCTGTGCAAGCAGGCAGCTGCTTCGTTCTCTCCGACGAGGCCTTCCCAACTGCTTCTGAGCAAAGAGGCATTTTTCCTGGGCCTCCAGTCTTCTCTTTTGAGGTCCACACTGAACCCATCCATACCCACACTTGTCCCCCTTAGCCCCTTCCCACACATGCTGTGCTCTACATGGTCCTTTCCCGCTTGGCTTCTTGATGCAACCTTGGCACTGCCCTTTGATGTCAGTTAGTAGCCTCTGAAGGTACTGCCGCAACCGACTCCATTCCCATTTTAGTCGCTAAAAGGAAGCCCTTTGTAAAAGTTGGTACTTGGTGTGCAGGTGGCAAGGACAAAGGCAGGCATCACAGCCAGTTTCTCACTCCAGATCCTGTGGGCTTCTTATCAGTGCAGTGCAGCTCACAGCCACACACACGGGGTTTCCTTCACACCGACAGTGAGCAAACAAGCAAAACCTGCTTTGGCGCAGCCATTTCTTCTGCTTTGTTTGCCAGATTCTTCAACTGTGATCACACTCACACCCATAACACAGCTTAATGGAAAGATTGCTGAGTTTGGAGCCAGGGTTCAAAATTCACTCTTGGAATAGCTGTATAACTGTGTGATCATGAACATGTTTCCAAGCCTGAGTGAGCCTCCTCATCAGGAATGTACCTACCACACAGAAATGATCAATTTTAATCTAGCATTAAATAGCCGTCCCATGCATACTAAGTTCAGCCCTGACCTGTCACATCCTTTCATAGCTTGAGTTCCAAGACCCTGCCTCGGGACAACAAGGTAATGAAGAACGAGAAAAGATGGGATCAGGTGGTCTGTGCTCTCGGATGGAGAAGCTGCAGTGCTCCTCCACCCCCAAACTCAACATGGTTGTTATATATAGCCAAACCTAGAGGGAGGGTTTATGGTATACAGTTGAATCAAGGAGGCTTATTTATCAAATCATAGCAGGGGCTGTAGGGGAACAGTTATCAGGCTGTAAACATAGTGGGGGGGGGAAGAAAGCTACATTTTCTGCATATACTGTTACATTCACGTTTGGACCGGGAGGGAAAGCTTTGTCATTTACCTATGCCTGAGTCAGGGCAAGTATTGCCATTCCCCATGGGTCTAAGGCATTGGGGTCCTTGATGTGTCTGTGTCTGTGTCAATAGCACACTTTCGCTCAAGACATCACTAGTCCCATACACCAACTGATCTCTCTTTGGAATTTTCCCAGTTCAGAATGTTCATGGCCTTTTCTCAAATTCCAGTTTTCTCCACCTAGATGTACCTTCATTTCCTCTATACCCCTGACTTTCTTATCATTGCATTATTGGTCCCTCCTTTTCTGATGGGGTCTATTCTGTAGTGCCTTCTTTTATTTATTTTGCCTGTATGTGAGTAGCTTTTGTAAGGTTCTACCTGCAGCCATTGCTCTTGTTGACAGGACTAAGTAGCATTAATAAACCAGAAAAGAGATCATGTTATCTATTGCTTTGTGTAGTCTGTCCTTGGTTCTTACTTTCTTGTCTCCCTTCTACATTCAAATATAAAAACACCACATTGTATTTTATACATCACTAAACAGGTATAGCACTAATAGTAATGGAATGCCCCTACTGTTAATTTTGATTTCCAAATAAGGCCTGTTTGTTGTTGTTGTTTTCGTTATGAGATACTCTCTCAGGTAGTTCAGATTGGCCCTAAACTCTCCATCTAACAGTAAATAGTCTTGAACTCCTGATCCTGCTACTTTTACCTCCCAAGTGCTAGGATTACAGGCATGTATCACAATGCCCAACAGGTATTACCACATTATCTGTTTGTTCTTCAGAATAACATTGCAAAGTACTTAAAATATCCTGAGTTATCTAACATATTTTATAGATGATATTAAAAAATGTTTCCCAGGCTAGGGGTGTAATTCAGCAGGACAGTGCCTACTTATAATATACACAGCCCTGAATTCCATTCCAATCATTGCAAAAACTAATTAATTCGAACTTTGGCTCCGGGAATAGTAAGCCGTACTACTTCCTTTTGTATTTCACATAACTTCTATGATATGTCTATAAATGCTACATTTTATTCTTATCTGACTTAAGGAAAACTAAGACAAAGGTCAAATTCAAAACCACAAATTGAGTTACTTATCAGCAGATCAAGGAAAGGTTATAAATTTGGAGGCAGAAAGGTGACTATAAGTTTGTGGGAAATATACATGTGCTTATTTTACTTTGGGACAAGGTGTTTCTTTGCTCTAAGAAAGGAAAACATTTGTTAGTAGGAGCTTCCTCCCATATATAGGTGGAAGCTGACAAAAAGTATAAAAAGTTGTATTGTCACAGTCTTGAAAGGGCAAGAAGATTAGCTTAGTTTAAAATGGGGGATTTCATCTCTTTAGTCAGAGAAGTCATCATGTTACCATAGATCATATCCATTCATTCATTCATTCACCCTTCACTCTAATTGTCTTTTGTTCCTACCTAATGAAGTATGTCGTATGTTTATTTTGCAGATCTAAAGCGGGAAGCCAGTATCTGTCATATGCTGAAACATCCACACATTGTAGAATTATTGGAGACATATAGTTCAGATGGAATGCTTTACATGGTTTTTGAATTGTGAGTGTACATTTTATTTCTTGAGTAGAGTTTTAAGTGATGCTGGTTGTAGAAAATCTTAACACCTTTCTCTTCAAGTTTAGCAACAGTCGTGGACTCATCTGTTTCAAGAGACCTGAAGTCACAGGTAAAAAAAGGATTTTCTCACTTAAGGTTACAAGTGGTGGAGCAACAAAAGCTGGGCATGTCAGGTACATATTTTCAGCACACTTCAGAGAAGAGGCTCCAAAAGGAACTAGAGTTTAAAGGGATAAGACACCCCAAAATATTTGGTTCACATCCTACTGAATAAGACAGAGAGGAGAGTAGAGGATTCCATGTAGGAAGTCTCTCTGGAAACTCAAAAAGTGTAATAACATATTTAAGTTTCTCTTTTGATATAAACATATTGCCATATAAAAGGCAACTTCACAACTAACAGTATCTTGGTTTTAATATACTGCTTCACTTGTTTCTCACTTAACTTTGTTTAAGGTGGAGCAGTGTGAGCAGTTTGTACAGCTAAATAGTTTGTAGATGCCTGGATAAATGTCCAAAATGATTGTGTAAGGCTTTATAGGATGGTATTATACAATATTTTGTGTTTAATCTTATTCTATTCAAAATTAACCCATGACTTTGATTAGGAAAATAGAAAAAGGAGGATATTCTAGCTTCGATATTCAAGATACAAAATCAGATCATGTATTGCTTCATAATACATTGCTCCAAAGTTTAGTGGCTTTTATTACCTCACTCTCTGTAAATCAGGAATGAGGCCTAACCTAGCCAAATCCTCTGGCTCTAGATCTCTCACAAGATGACTCTGGACCTTACCAACACTCTGACTGTTAGCAATCATGTACTGAGGGACTCATTTCCTAAGAGCTATTGCCCAGAGACATCCCTTGGTCCCATGTCACATGGACCTCTTCATAGACTAGCATAGCTACTAGCCTTGATGGAGCAAGCAACAAGAGTAGAGATCAGGTCTTACAAATCAGTTCCGAAAGTTGCACATCATCTGTCCTGCCATATTTTATTAGCGGGAAATGAGTCATTAGATCCAGCTCACAGACAGGACCTGGATAGCAAGAAGTCGGAGTGTCTAGGAGGCATTGTACAAGTCGCCCCCTACAGAATGCTAGATAATATGCTGCCTATCTGTATAGAAATTTGTAGCCAATGCACTGAAACAAAGAAAGTAAAATTGAAGACAAGTGCAGCTACATAAGTGCAAAATCAGTGTGAATTTAATTATGACTATTTACTTGGAAAAGAAGTAAATGTTTTGATTAGTTGTTTGCAACAGCTTAGAAATCCTAAATGGAATCTTAGGCTACATTAATTAGAAAGTATATAGAATTCAAAACAAAGCCATACTCCCACCCGTACACACTGCTCTTTCTCCCTGGAGTGTTGATAGTAACAGGACACCACAGTGTTTGTTAAAGAGGATAACTAGAACAGAAAAGCCTGCAAATTCCATCCTGGAGTCACAGCCTTCAAAACACTGGCTGGCAGATGTGCTAGACCTGTGAGCTGAGCCTGCTGTAAGTTGACATATAAAAACTTTCCTTGGGGCTGGAGAGATGGCTCAGAGGTTAAGAGCACTGACTGCGCTTCCAGAGGTCCTGAGTTCAATTCCCAGCAACCACATGGTGGCTCACAACCATCTGGTACCCTCTTCTGGCCTGGAGGCATACATGCAGACAGAATATTGTATACATAATAAATAAATAAATCTTAAAAAAACTTTCCTTGTGTAGCTAGCTATAGAGGTGACTCAGAGGTTAAGAGAGGTTACTCGAGGTTAAGGCTGCTCTTGGAGAGGACCTGTGTTAGATTCCCAGCACCCACATGGCAGCTCCCAACCACCTGTAACTCCACTTGTAGAATATCCATTGCCCTCTTCCGCCCTCTGCAGGCACCACACATGTATGTGGTACCCAGACACATAAGCAAAACACTCACACATAGAATTAAGTTTTATTGTAAGAATATTACTTTCAGCACCTTGAATGTTCTTTTTAAAATGTTTCCTTCACAACAGTATAGCTACATTTTAGGAAATGTCCACTATGTGGCCTACATGGCAAATCACAGAGCCCAGTCAGACTTGCTTTCTGTCAAAGAAAAAATCCAACTTCTTTTTTCTTTATAAAATGGAAATGTTAATAGATGTGCTGATGACATTCATATAACTATTGATTTCAAATTCTAAAATAGATGAAGCTCTTCCATGAACCCATTTTCTAGATATAAGGTGGCACCTCCCTTTGTTCCTCAAGATCTTGGCTTTGCTTCGAGGGCACCTTCCTCTGTAGAAGCTTCACTTTCCCCAATTGCCTTGGAAGGTAGACAGGTTTTTTTGGAATAGGGGAACAGTTGTTCTTTTGAGGTGGCTGATTGTAGACCCAGAGATGTGAAAGGAAAAGTAGCATTTGCAGACCATAGCATTTCGTGTCAGGCAGACCAGACTATGGTTAATGAGGAGATGGAAACTGGTGGCTTTAAAGCATCCTACGTCTGGAGCCCAGCAATGTGGCTTCAACAGATAAAAGCGCTTGCTGGGTTGCGTGGGCCTGGCCACCTGACTTAAATTCCCAAACCAGAATAGCCTGGAAGCTCTCGGGCACGCTAGCCTGGAGTACACGGTGCACGCAGCAGAAACAGGGGAAACCCTGCCTTCGCAAAGTGGAAGAAGGTGAGAAGCAACCTTGAAAGTTGTCCTCTGACCTCCATGCACACTGTGTTGCTCACACGTGATAATAATAGGTAAGGTTTTGAAATCTACTTCACATGTTCCTTGGAAAGGTTTTGAGCTTTCCCAGACATATTTGAATCCCTTATGAAGTGCTCTGGGATGGAAGAGCTCGTAAAGACACTGGAGTCATAGCTACCCAGGAATGGATAGATTTTCTTATTCTAAGAGTCCATGGAGAGAACATGATCATTGTCTTCAGTTATTGGAAAGACTGACACCTGTAAGAGTATGTGCTTCACTGTTACAGGCTGCCACTAGAATCAACAAGTGACAAATTTCACCTTTAAGTAAGGAAGGGTCTCGAATAATAAGATGTACTGCAGGGATGAAGCTGCTCCCTTACAGGGCTCATACTTAGCTCCTCACACTCGAGGGGCCATATCCATCCAAGAGGGCTGAAGAGAGGGTTTTACTTTGAGACTGAAGAGGGTCTCAGACATCCCACTCAATTTTCAAATTAAAATGCTTTTTATATCATTTTTCTAGTTTAATTTTATTCTTCACTCAAGAACTCTGTCTCTGCCCATATTTTATCCTAAGGGAACTAAAAGCAGATTTGATGGTGTGCTATGAAGTAACAAGCACAGAAAGCAAAATCTTACAGTGCACCTGCATTTTGACAGTCATGCTACTTGTGTCAGGGAGTCCTAAAATAACAGTGAGGTGGACAGAAGATGCCCTTTGTTGTTCTAGAATCTGGATTTGGGCTTCTTAGTGTTGAGGTGGTCCTTGGGAGATTTTTGTGACTTGATTTTGTATGATACCATCAGGATTAAAATAATCTAGTGGCTGTGCCTCATTAAAGATAAACATTTACTTGTGGCCTAATCCTAATGTTAGCCTAAATTAATAGAACATGGCTGATTTCTTTTTTCACCTTCCATTTTGGAAAATTCCAAATAAAATGGGAGACCTAATATCATGAAAGCTAGCACTGAGCTTCAACAGTTATCAAAACATTTGCTATTCCCTGCTGAAACTGTCCTTTCCTGTTATCATTTGCCCCTGGAGACTGCTAAAGCACTGTCATTTCACCTAGAAACACTCCTGTTTTAAATGATAACGCTATTATCATGCCTAACAAAATCACCAATAATTACTTAACATCATATCATATTCACTTGACTTTCAGTTTTTCCTAATTGAACATGAATCTTAAATGACAGCTATCTAAATTTAGAACGTTTTTATGAGCTCTAGGGATCCAAAAGTAGATTATAAATTCACAGCTAAAATAACAGATTTCTTTAAAAGGCCAGAACCAAAATAGAAATGGAAAACTCTTCTTTTCTATCATTATTTTATAAATGAGCCTTCACAGGGATCTTTGCCCTGTTTTTCTACCTCTTGATCTCTTGGTTTCAAACCAAAAAACCAGAAACAGATTGCTATAGGAATTGTGGTCCTATGGCTCACACAGCATTGTCAGTACATTTGTATGTGCCTCCACCTACTGGCAAAGAGAGAGAATGCATCTACAGCTGCAGTGTGGATTAAGCTACTCCAGAATTTGTTCCATATTCCTGGCAATAAATGTAATTTCCCCTGGTATTCAAAGGCTCATTGCTCAAGTTCTGAGGGATCTGGATCCTTTTCACAGTTTTTTAATGTTTCATCAATACAGAGTAGACAGGGAAACAAATGAAATTACACCAATTGATTTTGTTGTTTTATGGCTTCTTGGAAGCTCTTATGAGAGGGAAAGGCTAGACTGAACAACATATTTGGATTACCAGAACATTTTTAAATTTGGTATCCATATCTGCCTTTGCTGCAGTCTGTGTGTAACCTATACTCTTTTTTCTAAATTGTGCTCATGAAATTATATGGCATAATTATGTTCCTGGAGTATTAGAAAATCCCAGCAAATAGATGATATCCACATAATTACAGATAGTTTGTAAATGCAAAGCCTACTTAAATACAGACTCACGGAACCAGAGTTGAACTGGAAAAGACTAGAGCAGTAGATTTCAAATCTTAGAAAATCCTTTGCAAGCCAGTTGTAATGGCAGCCACCTTTAATCCCAGCACTCAGGAGGAAGAGGCAGGCAGATCTCTGAGTTGGTGGTCAGCCTGGTCTACAGAACGAGTTCAAAGGCAGCCAGGGATACACATAGGAATCCTGTCTCAGGGAGAAAGAAGGGAATGAAAGAGGAGAGAGAGAGAAAATGAGAAGGAACAAATCCTGGGGGAGAGAGAGAAAGGAAGGGAGGGAGGGAGAGTATCTTAGTGAGGCACATACCCAGGTTCA